CATATTTCAAAAGAAATCTCTCACTGAAACAGGCAAAGATGTGGCATCTAGTATGAAAATGGTCATTCTTCCAAGAACGAAGTAATTTCAACATTAAATAGAGCAAACATCTGTATGTGCTTAATATTTGACAGGCATATTCTAAGCACTTTAAATATTAACTCATTTAGTCCTCACAACAGCCCCGTAAGATGGATACCATTAACATCTCTATTTTTATAGATGTAAAAAATGAGGCAAACAGAGATTAAGTGACTTCTTTACCATCACAGGTTGGTAATCAGTGTAGAAGAATTAATATTAAATCTATAATCTTACAGGTTTAACAATTCCCTTTTTTTTTTTTTTTTTTTTTTTTTTTGAGACATAGTCTCACTCTGTCGCCTAGGCTGGAGTGCCGTGGTGTGATCTCGGCTCCCTGCAACCTCCGCCTCCCGGGTTCAAGCGATTCTCCTGCCTCAACCTCCTGAGTAGCCGGGATTACAGGCGTGTGCCACCACGCCTGGATAATTTTTTTATTTTTAGTAGAGACGAGGTTTCGCCATGTTGGTCAGGCTGGTCTCGAACTCCTGACCTCGTGATCCGCCTGCCATGGCTTCCCAAAATGCTGGGATTGCAGGTGTGAGCCACCATGACCAGCCAACGATTCCTTTTTAAGGGTGACTTGGCAAGCCTGTGTTGAACACAGTATCTGAAACACTGTGGAAGCTTACAACTTTTTTTTACCCAACTGAAAGTGCTTAAAGAGGACTAGGAGGGTACATACCATTGTTATGTCTTACTTTTCATAAAAAGAGAAATGCTAATGAAATACTTTTTAATATTGGCATTAAAAACGGCCAGCGGTTCCGCCCTTCGCCCCCGCTCCCAGCAGTCACCTGTGACAGCCACCCGGCCAGAGTCCACGCCTCAACTACGAGGCTGGTGATCCAGAAAGAGAACCTCATGCCCTGGCTGTAGGCGCAGCTGGACGCGTGCTTCCAGTGGTCGCCAGCCAATGGCAAGCCAGGCCCCGGTCGCACTGCTGATTGGCCCCCAGATCCCGTGGGATCCCACCTCTCGCAGAGGCTTAAAGCCTTGTACCTGCTGTGCAGTCTCTGGCTGTGCGTGCCTGCTGTCCGGTAGCTGTGGCTGTGGATAGCTCTTGCGCTGTCGAAAACTGGCTAATTCAACTGAGGAAATGAATTTTTAATTATTTTCATTATAATTCATTTTAATTTTAGGTAATTTTAAGTAATTTTAATTTAAATAGCCACAGTCACCAGATGCTTGAATGAAACTGTTCTAAGTGGAATCTATGAGTTTTGTTCTGTGATCTACACATTTAAAAGATGTATGTCCTCAAGTTGAATCAAAAGGAGCAGGTATATGGTGAAAAAAAAATCAGGTGTTAGATTTTATTCTCAAACTCAAACAAAGGCATGCAAACTCAAGAAGGAGACTACCATTTCTTGAGTGCCTGCCACAGGTCAGGCTAAGCCTTACAGATAGGTCAAATGGAAACTCTGGACCATATTCATATATAACAATCTGAAAGCTACTAATTGATCACCAATAAGTCTTAGTTTTAAAACCTATAAAAAATTTGCAAATAGGGCAAAACACTTTTAGTTAATTAAATGTAACATATGAAGACTAATATCACCAACTAAGCAAGTCTCATTGTACTTGAGTTTGGAAAATAATGACAAAAATTTACTATTTGCTCCTGGCAATTCAAAAATTAGTCACAATATCACCTCTCATTTTAAAAAGAAAAAATTTGAGGGAGAAAGGTTTCAAAAAAATCTGAATTTCATGCGAAACAAACATGTATGCACATTCCAATAACAGTGCCTTATAGACTACATGTTCTAAAGCCTTGAAAAAAATTTAATCTGCAAATGCCCAGCATCTGGTTTCTTCTATTAAGCAGACTAACTAAAAATCATTCTTTTAAACCTCAGACATTTTTAGGTGTTTTAGTTACATGTAATTCGTGTTCAAAGGTTTTATGATTTGAAGTGTAACAATTTGGTCATTGAGTGATGAAACGTTCTAAAATTGATTGTGATGATGCTTGCACAATGCTGTGAAGGTACTAAAAACGATTTAATTGAATACATCAAATGAGTGAATTGTATGATGTAAGAATTAGATCTCACTGGGTGTGGTGGGTCTCTCCTGTAATCCTAGCTACTTGGGAGGCATAGGCAAGAGAATCACTTAAGGCCAGTTCAAGATTGCCCCAGGCAACATAGTGAGACACCATCCCTTAAAAAAAAAGAAAGAAAGAAAGAAAGAAAGGAAAAATGAGAAGAATTATATCTCAATAAATTTGTTTAAAATAAATACATAAGTCATGAAGAAAATGTACTTACTATATTTTTTAATTTATAAGTAAATTTCTAATTTTCCTTGAATATGTCATATTTCACATAATTGAATAGTAAAGAAATTTTGCTTTCCTGGCATTTTACAATATTTCTGTTCCTGGTTTTGTTTTATGGAATCTTTTATCTTTTTTTGAGAAAAAAATTAACTGTTCTCAATAACAGCCTAAAATTTTCAGGACACCAATCAGTAGTCTTATTTCACAAAGAATAGAGATTGCCCAGTCAGAACAATTTGAGAAAATTACACATTTTCCACTAGATGGCACTGGTTTGCAAATAATACTGCTTTGCACTTCCTCTCATCAACAAAATTATTACACTATCAAATTATTTTCATTTACCTTGATTGTTGTGGATAGGATAAAGAGAAATGGAAAGTTAAGAAAAGATACTTCCTGGAGTTGCTCAGCCTCAGGGTAAACAGAGCCCTCATTACAGATATGGAATGTAATACAAGGAGAAATTATAAAAATCTTGTTAGTGCTAAATCCAGGGTAACAACCCACAATCCCTGACTCTCAGTAGTCATCACACAACTGTACAATATCAGGGGTGGGGAAGTGGATACCATAGTCAAAGGAAACAAGAAAATTAATCTCGATTGTGCCATTATACAAATATTATCTCATTTGATCTCTAAACTATGAACTCTATATATATTATCTCATATGAGAATAACTATACAAGGCTAAATGATTAACTCTGTGGGGGAGAAGAGTAATTATTTTGCTCAATACTACATCCCTTCAGTATAACACAGTGCCTAACACATATAAGATAGTCAAAAATACTTATTAAGTGAATGGGTGAATTAATTAAACTTGATAGTCATGCTCCTGCATATATTAGGTGGCTATCAAGCTTAACTAATGCAACTATAAAATAATATGTATTACCTATTTAGTAGGTAATATTATTCCTACTTTACAGTTAAGGAAACTGAAGCTGCAAGTATTAAGTAACTTGTCCAAGCTCCCACAATTCAGTAGCAAAACCATGTAACATGATCTGACATTACTTTGCATTATATATTTACATGTCAGATTTCCACAGTGGGGGAAAACAAGCCCTCAGGACATGTCTTTCCTCTTCCTCATTATATATCTAGCTCCTGGCATGGAGCCTGGCACATAGTTGGAGCACAGTAAATATTTATCTGGTTGACTTCATAGCAACCTAGGTCTTAGCATACAGAACTTGTTCATTTGAAGAACTCTGCCCTCAGTCTACGTAGGGGTTTATTCCTTTCACTTCATTCCAATGCCACTGCTAAATCGAGACCTTGTTTCTGGATTTCTACTGGATTTCTGACCTCTCCTCTAAGGCCTGTTAGCAAGAAGGCGTTTCCCACTTTGCTTGCACTCTATGATTTCTCTTAGTTCCACAGGTGAGCAGTCCACCCTCACTGCCCTCCAACCCCAGGGTTGTTTGTAGAAGTTGAGTAAATCAACAGATGGAGTTAGTTCTGGGTTTTTTGTTGTTCATGTTTGAGACAGAGTCTCACTCTATCACCCAGGCTGGAGGGCAGTGCCGCAATCTCTGCCTCCTGAGTTCACGCCATTCTCTTGCCTCAGCCTCCTGAGTAGCTGGGACTACAGGCGCCCGCCACCACGCCTGGCTAATTCTTTTGTATTTTTTTAGTAGAGAGGGAGTTTCACCGTGTTAGCCAGGATGGTCTTGGTTTCCTGACCTCGTGATCCACCCGCCTCGGCCTCCCAAAGTGCTGGAATCACAGGCATGAGCCACCACTCCCGGCCAAGTTAGTTCTGGTTTTAGCTGTACTTTTATCTCTATTACTTTGGCTATGCTATAGGCCTCAGTTTCCTCATCTCTAACAAATGAGGTTGAAATGGAATGATCTCAAATGTTCCTTTCCACTCTAATGCTGTGTAGTTTGAACTCTGTCCTATATTGATCGTCTATTGAGCTTATGATCAAGATGATGACAAAGGACTCTCCTCTTTGACCAAAACTTAGTTAGGCTCCTCTGAGTCCTCTGCTTGACTAGGCTTGATCTTGGGCTGTCTGTCCTTGTAGAATCCAATTTCAGCAAGATTCAGTGTAGTGAATCAGTGTAGTGAAAATCCAGTATCTGACCACCATGGATATCAATCACCCTGGCCTGCCTTCAGCAAGTATCCTGTCAAGTTGGTTTAGCCAGAATCCTCCTTAACCCTGATGTACCCTCTTAGTAATTTTCCATCCACTGACCTCCCACCCAGCTTCTTGGTTAGAAATGTGTCCTTATTAGAGTCAAAATTCAGTCCAATCTCTCTCTCCCACTGCAAGACCCCATTGCAGCTGTCCCTGGACCTATCACCATGTCTCCTTTTGTCAAAGTTGGCCTTCCTGTACCATCTCTAATGAGTGTCATGAATAATTTTTTCTTTAACACTGGAAAGAATCCTTGGCCTTAGGGGTGGGGTAAAGCCAGCGTTGGGAAAGCCTGTGCAGTAGGCAGCGCTTTTCTGCCTGCAGGGAACAAGGATTACACAATTGATACTTGGGCTGAGGCTCAGCTGGGTTGGAGACTTAGACTGCGTCAGCGTCCCCCGCGTCGCCAGGGGGCGCTGCAGGCCGCTCCCCGGAAGGCCGCATCCTGCGCGGCTGGACAGCGCCTGGCGCAGGACTCCTCTCTCTCCCGGAAGCGGAGCAACGAGCCCGCAAAGCCTCGGTGTGAGACAGCAGTGGTGGCAGACACCGCAGAAGCAAAGAGCACTGAGGCTCTTGCATTCAGGCGGAGTACCATGGACGAAGCTGGCAGCTCTGCGAGCGGCGGGGGCTTCCGCCCGGGCGTGGACAGCCTGGACGAACCGCCCAACAGCCGCATCTTCCTTGTGATCAGCAAGTACACGCCTGAGTCGGTGCTGAGGGAGCGCTTCTCGCCTTTTGGCGACATCCAGGACATCTGGGTGGTGCGGGACAAGCACACTAAGGAATCCAAGGGCATTGCTTTCGTCAAGTTCGCCCGCAGCTCACAGGCCTGCAGGGCCATGGAGGAGATGCATGGCCAGTGCCTCGGCCCCAACGACACCAAGCCCATCAAGGTGCGGGTGCCCGGGTCGGGGTGCCCTCGGGGGAAGGAGTGGGCCTTTCGGACCTCCCTTCACCTGCCGCTCTGTCGGGGTGAGGGAGGAGTGGAACATCCGTTCCCGGCAGCTGACCAGACAGCACCTGGTGTAGGGACAGGGGCTGCTTTGAGGAGAGGCTCCCCTCCCACGAAGCTGCGCTGGGTTGCAGGGAAGGGGACGGGAAGCGGAATGTTTGCCCCCCGAGAGCGGACCAGGCAACCGCGGCCACCGGGTGACAGAACAGCAGTGGCTGGGCGTCCTCTCTCCCTCGCCCTCACTAATCCACCAGCTCTTGAGTTCACTGCCAAACTCGTCCTAGCCTACTTTGAGTACTTTTCTGACCTTCTTCTCTCAGATGCCCAGAATTTCCATTATAACAAACGGAAAAACTCTGCTTTTCCTCAGGTAGAGATGAGGTGTTAACAACTTGACAAAAGTACTTTAAACTGGGGACCTCTGGTGTTGGACGTTTTCCCAGTACCAGACAAAAGAATACATGTATATAATACTAAGTGCAGGTGTTTAAAACGGTCACTGTTACATATTCATCACATTTTGTTGTTTTGGAAAATTATTTTGAACGAGCTCTGTTTCTGAAAGTGTTAATAGCATACATTTGGTTCTTGACCCTTTCTGTTACTGCAAATTTTCTTTGAAAGCAGACCAAAGTAAACTGCCTTAAGAAGAGCCAAATCATTGTGATAATGACACATGTCAGGAAGGATCATTTTGAGGGTTATTTGACATAATCTGTGCTTTCAGCACAGTGCCTCGCACAGGGTAAGCCCTCAATATGTCCTTGTTGTTGATCGGTAATAGCCAAGATGTCACTGCTTACTCCCTGTGATCTCAAATCAGGACTCAGTCCTGAGAATCTGGCAATTGCTTAAATTGTACCCTTCGTCTGCCCCGTGTAAATAGTTGCTATGTATGTTATTCTGTTGGTACTTTGCACAAAAATATTTTCTCAATTTTTAAAAAAATTGTTTTCCAAATTGAGAATGGTATTATTATGGACTTATGTAAATAAAGGACTCAGAGATATTTCAGTCTCTGGAGGTCTTGCTCCATGCACAAAAGAGAAGGAGCCTGGGAATATACCAGTAACACGGTAAACAGTCCCTTCCTCCCACCTCTCCAACCCTCTGAAGTGTGTCAGAATAGGAGAGCAACAAAATTAATTTAGGGTCACAGCATACAGGATCAGGAGTTGACAAACTTTTTCTGTAAAGGGCTGGCTAGTAAATATTTTAGGCTTTGTGGGCCACATACAGTCTCTGTCACAAATCCTTGTCTGTTTTTACAGTTTTTAAGGACAGTTTTTACAGTCCTTAAAAACTGTAAAAACAGTTCTTACATCATGGGCTATACCAAAAATGGAGCTGTAGTTTGCTGACCTCTGTAGTAGACTGATGTGTTTCATCACTGTCCAGTTATGACCTTAGTGGAGAGGGTTTTTATATTTTGAGTGTAACATGGCCACAGAGCCCATGTGGACAACCCAAGAAAAGGTGCCATATTTGAAATTGGTGGACCACCTTCCCCTGATAAATTTCTACAAGAGAAATTAAAGGCCCAGCACTGAAATGTACCTTCTCTTTTAGCTGCAGAGAAATTAAAGATCTTGTTCCCAAAAAGAAATAAACTACTATTTTCTTTGTCACATTTTTGACTATTCAGTTTTAGCCAGAAGGTTGTTTCACTGTAGTACCTAGCTAGACAGTCTAGTTTCATTTGTTTTCTTTCTTTCTTTTTTTTTTTTTTTTTTTTTTTGAGACAGAATCTCGCTGTGTCACCCAGGCTAAAGTGCAGTGGCTTCTTGATCACAGCTCACTGTAGCCTCTACCTCCCAGACTCAAGCAATCCTCTTGCCTCATCCTCCCTCTCAAGTAGCTGGGACTACAGATGTGCACCACCATGCCCAGCTAATTTTTTTATTTTTCATAGAGACAGGGTCTCACTATGTTGCCTAGGCAGGTCTCAAACTCCTGGGCTCAAGCGATCCTCCCATTTCAACCTCCCATTACAGTTGTGAGCCACCACACCCTAACAGCCTAGTTTCATTCAGCAGCTGCAGCTCGAGCCATCTTCGACTGGAACACTCTTGTGTTGTTTTCAGCATTTCCAGTTAAATTACTTCAGCTTCAGTATTTCTATCGTACTTTGCTTTTGCAAAGTTTCAGAGGATCTATAACACAAGAATATTATCATACCAGGCCTCAGCCAGAAAAGATTGTCCAAGTAAAAGTTATTCTGTGACCAACTATTTATCTGGCGGAAAGGGGGAAACCTAGAAAACAGAAGAAAAAAATCTTGGCTTTAGTTTTGCAAGAATGCTTCTTATCTAGAGCCTATGAACGCTCATAGTCTTTGAAGGTGAAAATTTATGGGAGAAATCTACCATGAGGAGGTTAATTATTTTACATACATTCTACATAGACTGTCTCCTTTGTCAGAGATTTGAAACACCTCAGTCCTCTAAAATGTAGAAATCTGTGTTCTGATGGCACTTCCAATTTCATCTTACCTGAGATTCTTTTTTTTTTTTCTCTAATGTCTTTGCATATACTTAAAGCTTCCCTATTTGTATTTCCCTATTTACCATTTATTACTGATATCAGCCACAAAACTCTAGTGGGCCATTTCTGTGTTACTCAATAGTTGTACTCATATAGTGCTTGACATATAGCATAGATTTACTGTAGGAATAACTAGAAGTAGACTATAAAGGGATATGTCTCTAATACTGTGGTTTTCTTAGTTGCTGCTTCCTACTCTGGAATTTCATAAGTTCCAGTTTTTTCATGCTTGGATGATATAGAGCCCCCTTTACCAGCAGTGGATTAGAGACCAAGATATAGAGACCCCTTTAAAGGAAAGAGAAACAAACAATGCAAGGACCCTTGTTTATGGTGTTTTAATTTATTATATTACATTTATTCAAATTGCTCTGGCTAAAACAAATGCAAAAGTAGAAATACATTTGGGAAACAAACAATGCAGAGATTGGTATTAGCTCGTAAAAAAAAGTCATTGCAGGCCCAGCACAGTGGCTCACACCTGTAATCCTAGCATTTTGGAAGGTCAAAGTGGGAGGATCACTTGAGCCCAGGAATTCGTGACCATCTTGGGCAACATAGCAAGACCTTGTCTCTATAAATGTTAAAAAATTAGCTGGGTGTTGTGGTATGTGTCTGTGGTCCCAGCTACTTGGGAGGCTGAGGTGGGAGGATCACTTGAGCCTAGAACGTTGAAACTGCAGTGAGCCATGATCACACCACTACACTCCAGCTTGGGTGACACAGCGAGACCCCATCTCAAAAAAAATAAATAAATAAAAAGTCATTGCAAGAATAATTGCTTTTGAAAAAAATTTAAGAAATGGGAAAATAGTTGACATTATTTTATTTTGGGAGTTTTGTTTGTTTCTTAGGTTTTCATTGCACAGTCCCGATCATCTGGAAGTCACCGAGATGTTGAAGATGAAGAACTTACAAGAATCTTTGTTATGATACCAAAGTCCTACACAGAGGAAGATCTGCGGGAAAAATTTAAGGTACTTATTCTAATCAGCTAGCATATGTGATAACTCATAGTCCTATACAGGTTGTATGGGTACTAAATCTGAAGTGTCATTGGAATAAGGTCAATAGAGTAGTCGTGGGGAATTATATAACTGTTTTCATCAATTTCAATCTACTTTTTAAATATTAAACCTAGCATAAATTAGTTTTCAAAATTAAAGAATATATAAAAACTGGAAAATAGTAATGGTAGTCTCCCCCTACTTTATTGTGAAAGTAGAGATTCACAGAAATGAAGTATAAAACTCAGAAACTTTTAAGTAAAGTCACACAGTTAGTAGGTCGTAGAGCTATGATTTAAACCCAGGCTATCGGAGTCTGGAGCCTGCTCTTGGTCTTTAAAATTTCAAAGCATGCTCTTTTCACTCCCCTCTGTTGCCTGGCATGTAAAGGCGAATCAGGCAGACCTGAGTGTGTGAACTGTATTATCTAGTATTTAGAAAAGGCCTATGGTATGTTGACATGGTACTCATTCACAGAAAGGCTTATTTTTTGAAGAGTTTTTGTCCTAAAATTGGGCCTTTGAAGGAGTTATATTTAAAGAAGAAAACATAAGTATAGCTCTGACCTATATAAATGAAATTTGAGGATAATTTTAAGTCTTTTTAGCCATTAACTTATGCAGTGATAAGCTTTCACACAGATTATTAAAAAGCAATTTTTAAATTGTTTTGAGTTGTAGTTCTTTATCTTTTTTCTACTAATCCTACCATGATTTGGGTGGCAACAAGCAAGAAAGAAAACAAGCAGTAAAAAGTAATTTTCAAACTTTCACTCCTACCCCAATTGAGAATTCAATAAAATACTTCAAAAATAGTAAATACCAAAAACATATATTTTATGCCTCCTCCAGTGGTAAGGAAAATGTTTTTTACCTTAAATATTTATAAATTTTTATCTTTTCCTGAATGAACAAATACTACACTTTAATCTAGTGTACGATAATTAAGTTGACAATTGATTACTTAAGAATTTATAAAATAAATAATATCAATTATATTGCATATTTCTTTGAACATTAAAAGTAAGCACTACTGCATGTTTCTCAGAATAGTAACTTTCTGAGTGAACCAGCATATTTTAGAGATACTCTTTGAAAAGCACTCCTTCAAAAGAATACACAATCATTTATGTTCCTGTTAGAAGACAGACAAGTAATTATAGCTAATGTTCTTTGAGTGTGTTCCAAGCCCCATGTAAGCACTTTACGTGTTTTACTTCAATTAACCCTTAAACAACCCTGTGATGTAGATACTACTGTTAGGCCCATTTAATAAAGAGGTAGGCACAGAGAGAATAAGTAAACTGCCTAATTAATGAGTGGTTGATTCAGGATTTCAATCTAGAAAGTTTAATTCCAGAGCTCTGGCTCTTAACCACTGTTGAGCAAGACTTTGGAGCTATCCAGACCATGTACAAATTCTTACTCTTCTTCTGTGACTTTGTCCCTCTTTGGTTTCTCTAAAGCCTAGCTTCCTCGTCTGTGAAATAAGCATATTTGCATATTGCAATATCTGCATAGTTTATACTGTTTATTTCTTTGTTTGCATGCAAGGGTAACATATAAACAACATTTTGGTTCTGAAATACTCTGTTCAATTAATTTTATGTCCCCGGAAATCATGTCTTTTAACTCTTTTAGGTGTATGGAGATATCGAGTATTGCAGCATTATTAAGAATAAAGTCACTGGAGAAAGTAAAGGTTTGGGCTACGTACGATACTTAAAACCATCACAAGCTGCCCAAGCAATAGAAAACTGTGATCGAAGTAAGGATATGTTTGTTTAACATTGTTAAAAACTTTTGTAAAAATTTCTGATTATTCTAAATAACTGAATTTAATATGGGTTTTTGATAATAACTGTATCTGCTAATGTAATTTTAGCAGTGGCTAAATATTTACAGTCCAAGGAAGAAAAATATTTTGGGGCTATGATTAAACATTTATTGAGGCACTATCTTGAAGAAATAAGAACAACTACATTAACTTAGTAAGTGAAATGCATACCTTGGGTATTATTTGTATAGGTTTTTAGGGTTTTTTAAGTGTATTTTAGAATTTTATGTATTAAAAACTTGACTTACCTTTTCAGGGTTTTTAAAATATTCTTTATATTTGTTTATGTTTGATCTACATCCCAAAGAGTATAAAGTATAATTAATAAACCTATAGGTTAAGGATAAGATTTATAAGATGTGCTAACATAGGTAATTGATATAGGTAGGGTTAATTTCAAGCTAGAATGACATGAATGTGATCTTCTGTTGTTGCTGTATATATAAAGAATAAGAATTTTAAAGATGTCAAGGAGAATATTCTTTGTTGGTGTACTTCTAGTTAGGTATATTGATATGTAGAATGATTAAATTACTGGATTTTAGGACATTATAAAAATCTACACATACTGGAAAGAATTACTGTTAATCAGTAGAATTCTTCGATACCCCGAAGGTACATATGAAAATTTTCTCTTAGATCCTTCTGAATTTCTCATTTAGCCAGCACTAACTGAGTACCTGCAGTATACTGATCAATATGCTAAGTAGAGAGATACAGATGAAGTATATGGCAGCCCTCACATTTAAGGAATTTATAGCTGTATTGGGTAGCCAAGATCTAATAGGCAAAAAATAAAGAATGGAAGAACTTTTTTAAAAGGCTCTTTGAAAGCAAGAAGTATGTCTTATTAGTCTGTCACTCCAGGTATCTAGTACAATAATAGGCCCTCAATAAAGATTTATTAAGCTCTCTATAAAAGTAACTGCCATTTATAGTAGACTCAGTAAGAATTTGCCAAATGAAAAAAAAATGTTCATAAGTGTATGGTAGAGTCTGTCAATGGTGAAAAACAAGTGTGCTGGATGAGCGTGGCAACACATGCCAAGGGGGTAGGACTTGTGTCTGGTGTCGAGTAGGCAGGACAGAACGTGAGAGCAGTGCTAGCAGAGGCACCATGCCAGGAATAAACATGTCTTTTGCTTAGTGTTGTGAAGGCAGCTGTCTGAGTAAAGCACAGTATTTCTGTTGAGACATTCTGAGACACAGTTAACTAGGTACATTGGAACATGGGAACAATATATGGGAGGTTAGGAAAAGTTCAAGGTTAGTCCGCATTAGAATTCCTTTGTAGATTGTTTAGAAAGACAAAAGTAAGAACAGTTGATCTAACCCCACAGTATTAATGATAGATTTCCAGAGAAGAATTCAAACGAGCTGGTTTTATCCTTTTTAAGCCACTGAATAATGTGAAGAAAACTGAACCCTTGAAATATGCCCATGTGCACATAAATGCATAATAAGCATTTTATTTAAAGTTTCAGAGGGTTCATGGAGTCTTCCCACCTTTTGAAGCTCATCCTTGGTCCCCTAGTTAAGAACCCTTGATCCAGAAGCAAAAAAAATCCAGTTAAAGGGCTGTTGTAATTAACTGAAGAGAATCTAAATTAAAAACAGAAGCAGGGAAGTTAGGGTAAAAGATAGCATATTCCAATTGTGCGCATTTCAAAGGAAGAACGTTGGTGACAGGTTAAATATGAAGAAGCCCTACAGGATTTTGATGTTGAGGAGCTTAAGTGAATGAATGATGATATTATCTGTAACAGGGGAAGATGGGAAGGGATAGCATAGAATTGCTGATCTTTCATGTCTACATTGACCCATAATTTGGTATACTTGCTGTTTGTCATTTACTCTTTGCCATCTTCCAGAAAGCAAAGAAGTAGGTCTGGAGGAGATGGCCATTGTATAGATTTTCCTTTGTACAATTATATTTATAAAGCTGAGTCAGGCACTAGCAATCAAGTATATTTGCAGGTATGTTAAATTTGCTATGAAACTTGAAATTCATGGGTTTTCTTTTCAGGTTTTAGAGCAATCTTGGCTGAACCTAAAAATAAAGCATCTGAATCCTCTGAACAAGATTATTATAGTAATATGAGGCAAGAGGCTTTGGGACATGAACCTAGAGTAAATATGTTTCCATTTGGTAAGTAGGCGACCTTTACTTTTAATAGTATAATGTAGTATATGCGATCTAACTTGGGTTTTAAAAAATACTCTGTTATCGGGCATCTATAAATTTCACCTAGTGAATAAAAATCTTAAATGTAGGTTTTTTTAATTCCTAAAAAGTGGATTATGACTCCTAAAGTTCTTAATATTTAATACTTATTTTGTTTAACTGATTTCTAATTATAGTTTTCTCTGTTTAATTATGCATTCCTCATATTAGAAACTATTGCCACTGCCACATATCACCGCCACTTTTTTGGGTGAGCTTCTGCCGCTGTACAGCTGACCAAAAACTTAAAAAGACATATGTAGATATCCTCTCAGTATGAGTCCTAAAATTTTGTCCCAGAACTACTGCTGCTTTAAAATTAGGGCTACAGAAAAGAGAGGAATGGTAAAAGTAGAAGCTCTAATAGAAAAAGGGGAAAATGGGTAATGAAAGTAAGGCCTGTGAATGTTATTTGACATAAACTTTCAGGTAAAATACTTGCCATATTTTTCAGTTTTGCATACTAAACTTATTTCTGTGAAATTAGACTATGCATTTCTTCTTATATTTCTGCATTAAAGGTAGGGGAGTGGGGAGAGTTGTCTGTTTTCTTGTCATTAGTCTCATCAGTAGTTCTGATGACCAGAAGCCTATTACAAAATACAGTGCTTTTATTCAGTACAATGGACTCTTTGTATTCTAGTATTTAAAATGTTAAGTGAATTGTTGGCTGTGTAGAAATCTAAAGATTTACTTTTTTTTATATTGTTGGAGAACAACAATCTGAATTTTCAAGTTTTGACAAGAATGACAGCCGAGGCCAGGAAGCAATCTCCAAACGCTTGTCAGTTGTATCAAGAGTTCCTTTCACTGAAGAACAGCTTTTCAGCATTTTTGATATAGTACCAGGATTGGAATATTGTGAAGTTCAACGAGATCCTTATTCAAATTATGGTAAAATAATATTCACATTTATATATATATATATATATACACACACACACACACACACAGAGTTTTGTTAAAATGGCTTTTCTCCAGTGGCACTTTTATGTCAGATATTGCTCATGTGAGAGGAATTTTATCTCTCCTTTTTCTCTACTTTAGACTTCAAAATATGATGATACCTTAATAAACAAAGCCCTGGAAATATATCTTCTTTTTACAAAATTATTCACTGTAAAATATATTTTAACTCCCACAAAATGTAACATTCTGTATTCCAGTTGCACAACAAAAAATGCCTCAGGATAGAGCCTCTGTCTCTGCGTACTCTTTTGGTTAATGCTAGACAAAGTTATGAAACTCACAAAGTTTCCTCCTCATTCATCCCTACATCTCTTTCTCTTAAATTTATATCCCTCCTTCTGTTCATTCCAAGCATCTAAATGCCCTACTTCTCTCTCTGCTTCTTCCAATTCTCAGTGGAAGCAAGACTCCAATATCAGCCATTTGAACTTATTAATTAGTTAATTGATTACACCCATTATCTAGCATTAGCTAACCCATCTTTGTGTTTTAAGCATTTGATTTTATTAAGGCTCTTTGTTAATGGAGGCATTGTGGCATAATGGGAAAGTTTGGCCTTCCATTTTGCATCAGAATCAAGTACAAATCCCAGCAGTGGCATGTAGCTTTGAGACCTTGGCAATTTGCTTATCCCCTCTGAGCCTCTCTTTGCTCATATGTAAAATGGGATCATTGACACTTTCTTTGCCAGGGTTGGGTAAGAATTAGAGATAATATATGTAAAATAACCTAATGCAAGTTCTGGCATGTAATAGGGCATTCAGTAAATCTAAGGTGTTTTTTTTTCTTTGTTAGTGAGGGGTGGTAGAGAAATCATACTTGGTTGGCATTTCTTCCAGTTTTGTAAGGATACCTGATTTAGTCCTTTTAGAGTGACATGGCTGTTGACACAGAGGTAGTGATGTGAGTTTGGTCATGTGGACCAACAGGACTAAGGTAACTCCACCCTTCATACAGACACCCCTACATACTCACTAGTACCTGACCCAGCACTAGTCTTTTTGTAGAGCTGTCTTTGAGCCATCCCCAACCTTAACCCGATCATATGTTGTCATTCTCCGTTCTAAGACTTCTAGGTACACATTTCTGTGTTCTCTGGCACATTTGTTATATGCATGTGAAGTTGTGTTTATTTTGTTTTGTTCCCTCCCTTTTATCTGGCATGTTGAAATGTATTTGTTCCTGTACCTCCTGTTTTGTTTCTCTGGTTGGATGTGTCTGAAACATACGTGTCATTGGAACATCTTTTTATTAAGAGAGGTGTCATCATATAGTTCGAATCTCATTTGAATTAACTTTATATGGTCATTTGATTTCTGCATTTTATTTTAATTCCATTAAAATATTGGATGCTTGGGTTTCCAGATGAACATAAATTATAAGTGTTTCCCCAGTGGTCTGTATTATAAATGTGAAAACCTTTTGGTTGTGTCACAAGCTCCTGGGCTCTCTAAGGAATGCATTATAACATTGTCCCTGCCTTCAGCATCACCCTCCTAAATTGAAATTCATCCCTTTGGCAGAAATCTCTCCAAAGGAATGTAAAATATGTCACTTGTGATCTGAGATCCTCTGTTCCCTATCTTTTTGTTTTTCATTCAAATCACTTTTCCTCTCTCTACTGCTGCAGATAGCCAGGATGAGTATATATTCTTTTCAACTATCACTTCTCATTCCATTTCCTACCCAGTATGGTTGGGAAAATCTTAAAATTTCAAAGTAGATTTCAAAGAATAAAAATTTAGACTTTTAAGTATATTGGTGTCATATAAGAAAAGCCAGTATCCTAAAATTAAATTTATTAGACAGGGTGTATGTTAATATTCCATTTTCCTTAAAATATCATGTTCATATTTTTCCCTAAATTATTTCTTCCTTTTGTAGGAATACACTTGTTGCACATATGATAACAGAACTGTGTTTTCTGATACATTTGACTCTGTATTTACTAGTTATGTGATATTAGAGTTCTATATGGTTTCACTTTTGAGATAGATTGTAACATAGGCCTTAGGCACTCAATCTGCTTTCCTTTTTCATTTCTGCATATTCTCTATTTTAGGTCATGGAGTGGTTCAGTATTTTAATGTAGCATCAGCTATTTATGCAAAATACAAATTACATGGATTTCAGTACCCTCCTGGGAATCGAATAGGTGTTTCCTTCATTGATGATGGAAGTAATGCAACAGAGTAAGTACCATTCCAGGAGTGTCTAAAGCCGAGCTTTGAGTGTACATGATTGATAGGACTTGAAGAATAAAAATAGAAAACAGTTGACCTCTCAGGTGAGAAAGTCACACAAAACAAGTTACTGTTAAAAGACTGAATATTTTTAGTTTTCTGTAAATTATCAGTTATTGTCTCCAGTCTCCTTAGAAAAATGGCAACACAGATGGTAGCTGCACAGCTTGCATCAATGGTGTGGAATAACCCAAGTCAGCAACAACTTATGGTAAGTAGGTAAGAATTTAACCTTTATAATAAATCAATAGCATATAAAATAAATGTGAAGAGAAATCATACTTTGTTGATTGTCTATGTAAGAAAATTTTCAGAGCTATAGTGGAAGACCACATAGATGCCATGATACATATCTGTCTTTAGCTCTTGTCCAAAAATCCGTAAAGGGCATTTTTTTCTTTTTCTTGTTTACCTGTTAACAGCAATTTGGAGGAAGCTCTGGATCACAGTTGCCTCAAATCCAGACAGATGTTGTACTTCCATCATGCAAAAAAAAAGCCCCTCCTGAAACTCCTGTGAAAGAAAGACTTTTTATTGTGTTTAATCCTCATCCTTTACCTTTAGACGTATTAGAAGATATATTCTGGTAAGAAAGTTACACTTTTTGTTATATTTTATTTACACTAGTAATTTAATTATTCTCATAATCTAGACACTTCCTTCCTCCAGTACCTATCAGGTAGAGATGATTTGTTCTCTGGTTTTAAAAACTCCTCATTTGTATCATCTTTTTCAATTTCTGATTATTTTCTTCTCTTGTTTATCAGTCACACATCCTAAGGCTCCATACAGAATTTCCTGCTACTTTGTTTTTGAAGACATAAAATGGGCCTGGTGCAGTGGCTCATGCCTGTAATCCCAACACTTTGGGAGGCTGAGGTGGGAGGATCGCTTGAGCTCAGGAGTTCAAGATCAGCCTGGGCAATATGGCAAAACCCCATCTCTACAAAAAAGACAAGAATTAGCCAGGCATGGTGATACATGCCTTTGGTCCCAGCTACTTGGGAGGCTAAGGTGGCAGGATTGCTTTTGCCCAGGAGGTCAAGGTTGCAGTGTGCCAAGACTGTGCTACTGTACTCCAGCCTGGGTGACAGAGTGAGACCCTTTTTGTTTTTAGTGTTTTTTTTACTAAGCATCTTCTGTTTTGTTGGTACATTGTTGGATCCTTAAGGGTTATCCATTTGCATTGTGTAAACAATTACTTGATTGTAGGGAAATACATATAAATGTTTTTTATAATAAAAAAGAGAAGTTTCTTATTTATTTTTGTGTTTTTAACATAACTCCTTTCTTCGATTTTTCTTTTAGGCCTTTTTCCCATTTGCCTTATAAGAATGTTAGTGAATTAGATAGATAGAAAACTTGTTAAAGAACTGCACAAAATATCAGGGACATAATGTGATAGTATATTGAGGCTCAAAAGGAAAAAAAATCAGGACATGGTTCAAGTGTTTTGACCTTTATTTAACTGATATATTTAGTTTTTTTCTTGAACCTCTTCTTTGTTCAAGGCAGGAACTGTGCTAAGTACAAGAGACATTATGTAAACAAGATATTAAATGGACAAGACATTATAGTTCTTGTCATCTTAGAGCTGATCTCATGTAGGAAACAGACAGGTAAACAGAAAATTACAACCCGGTGTGATTGTTGCTGTGATAAGGAATGTGTAAGATACATAGGAGGAGCAGTTACCTTAGAAACTCTGAGAAGCCTTGAAAGAAGGCAGGTGTATGTGGAGACCTGAAGGATAAAAATAATTTCTCCACAGGTGAAAGCTGGGAGTGTGCATGGTTATTTCTGCCATAGAGAATATAAAAGAAGGGCTATTAGATAGGTAATTTGAGAGATTGTTAGGGAAGATGAAACTAAAGAGTCCAAGGACCATGTCAGAAAGGCTCTCGAGCTATCTTAAGGGATTTGTTGTCACCATGGAGGCAGTGGGGAGCTGCAGAGGGGACTTTTAGGGAGTAAATGATCATATTTATGTTTTAGAAAGATCACTGAAAAGACAGAGTGGAAAATGGATTGAAGAGGGACAAGCCCAGGGGTAAGGAAACTAGTGAAAAAGGAATTAGATTAAGGAAAAGATGATGGTCTGAATGAGAATGAATAGAATTGACTGACTGAGATGTTTAAGATGACATGAGGCCGGGCGCGGTGGCTCAAGCCTGTAATCCCAGCACTTTGGGAGGCCGAGGCGGGCGGATCACGAGGTCAGGAGATCGAGACCATCCTGGCTGACACGGTGAAACCCCGTCTCTACTAAAAAATACAAAAAACTAGCCGGGCGAGGTGGCGGGCGCCTGTAGTCCCAGCTACTGGGGAGGCTGAGGCAGGAGAATTGCGTGAACCCGGGAGGCGGAGCCTGCAGTGAGCTGAGATCCGGCCACTGCACTCCAGCCTGGGCGGCAGAGCGAGACTCCGTCTCAAAAAAAAAAAAAGATGACATGAGTTGGATGTCAGATGTGGGGAGAAGGGTGAAAAAGGAGTTAAGAATGGACTCCAAATTTTAGACCTGAGAAGCTGTATTTATCAATTTTGGTTGATAATTTTTTTCACTTTGTTTCAGTCGTTTTGGTAACCTGATCGAAGTTTACCTTGTATCAGGAAAAAATGTGGGGTATGCCAAGTATGCCGATAGAATAAGTGCTAATGACGCTATTGCCACTCTACATGGGAAGATTCTGAATGGGGTGAGACTTAAAGTTATGCTGGCAGATTCGCCAAGAGAAGAGTCTAACAAACGGCAAAGAACTTACTGATTCTTGAGGTAAGCCCTTTTTAATCTGAATTTTAAAACATATTGAGTAAATAGTATATGAGGAATATGTGTAAGTACTTTATGAACTTTTCTTTTTAGTGATTTAGAAGTTGTCAGTTAAAAGAGCTTTGCAACTATTTAAACTTTAAAAATTGTTGACATTTACTGAAGAATGTTTTTGCCCTTCTATAAAATAAAACCACATTTCAGTTTAGAAAGATAATTGTTTTTTGTTTGTGAAATCTTAGATTTTAAGAATTTGACTTTTTATTATGTGCTTATATAAACTTTAAAATTGTCCAGTGCTAGAATAAGGATTGCTTTAAAAAAAAAAATTGAAATACTTCTAAAGATTTTTAACTTGAAGAATTGGTGTCTTGAGTTATGAATTGAGGTAATTTATAAACAGTCGTTTAGAAAGATAATGTTTTGACTTCTCTCTAATGAAATGCCTAAAAAGCAATATCAAATAATATATCATTTTTGGACCTTTTGAACCTAAATATTGGTGTTTTCTGGACTTATATTTGTGAGTTTTTGCATTAAAACAGTACCTTCAGAAAATATTCTCGTGTGCATATATGTATTTTTTAAGAAAACCTAACAATTTACCAAAAACTCTTTATTGTAAATTTTGATACATACAGCCATATGAATTCCATTTCCTATTTTATTTATTAGTTTCCAAAAATCAAACTACAATTTCTTTGACTGTGACAGTTATTTTATATCTGGGTGGTTTGGGGAAATATTCCTTTGGCTTTTTTTTTTTTATCTTTTTTTCTGAGACGTCTCGGTCTGTCACCCAGACTGGAGTGCAGTGGTGAGATCTCAGCTCACTGCAACCTCCACCTCCTGGATACAAGCGATTCTCCTGCCTCAGCCTCCCCAGTAGCTGGGACTACAGGCGTGTACCACCACACCCGGCGAATTTTTCGTGTTTTTGGTAGAGACGGAGTTTTACCGGGTTTCGATCTCCTGACCTCGTGATCTGCCCGCCTCAGCCTCCCAGAGTGCTGGGATTACAGGCATGAGCCACTGTGCCCAGCCTAAAGTTTGGCTTTTTTTATTCTGTAAAATAATTCTGAATTTCAGGGGAAGCTGTTTTCCTGTTCACACACACCAACTTTCCAAGTCTACTATAGGTCAAATGTAGTAGATGGCAGGCACTTTGAATTCAGTTTGAAGTTACTGGCTTGAAACCTTTATTTTTTTCACTTAAGATTTTCTTTCTGACCAATTGTGTGAGCTAGCACATATGAGAATGAATCCTGCCAGGCATCACTGCTGATGACCCTTCCTCTCCTAGAACAGATCACATAATTAGTTCCTCCTTCATAGAAGGCATTTGACAAGAGAAAGTGCCCATTGGGCCCATTATGAATAATCCTAATTTTTAAATCTTTTAAAATGTTTTATTAAATGACAAAACCACTCTCATCGTACCATACATTGTTAGCAATTTAACCCTGGATATATTAAATTGGCAGTGAGAAAGAATTAGCAAGCATTTTTTCCTGTTTATGGATAAAATGTTAAGAATGAATTCTGTTTGGACAAGCTATTCTCTAGCATGCAAAAAATGTGTTTTTTCTAGTCTGTGAGTATTTCAAGAATAGGAAATAGTTCTTGTTTTTACTCAATAAATCTTTGTCCTTAAAAAGGACAATAATATAGACTTTAGACTTCTCAGTATAGAAAACTATATAAATTACTCTTATGGTTGAACCTTTTCTAATGATTATTTACATGTTAAAGAGATTATTGGGCTTAAAATAAAAAGCCATTTAACTGTGACTGAGCTGGTCTCTACGCCTTTTTTTTTTTTTTTTTTTTTTTTTAAACACAGAATCTCACTCTGTCACCCAGGCTGGAGTGCAGTGGCCTGATCTTGGCTTACTACAAACTCTGCCTCCTGGGCTCAAGCAGTCCTCGCAGCTCAGCCTCCCCAGTAGCTGGGACTACAGGCATGTGCCACCATGCCCGGGTAATTTTTTTTTGTAAGACAGGGTTTTGCCGTGTTGCCCAGACTGGCCTTGAACTCCTAAACTCAAGTCATCTGCCTTCCTCGGCCTCCCAGAGTGCTGGGATTACAGGCATGAACCACTGCACCTGACCCTCTTTGCCTTTTTGAGCCCCAGTTTTCTCATAGGGCTTTTGAGAGACAATGAGTCAACAAAATTCCTTGTAAAATGAAAAAAAGGCTTTGCAAGTCTAAGCTAAAACTCTTGCATTTGTAGCTTCAGTGAAACCTTTGAGATGTCCTCTTATCTAAAATAATGACATCCAAGGCCGGGCGCGGTGGCTCACGCCTGTAATCCCAGCACTTTGGGAGGCCGAGGCGGGCGGATCACAAGGTCAGGAGATCGAGACCACGGTGAAACCCCGTCTCTACTAAAAATACAAAAAATTAGCCGGGCGCGGTTGTGGGCGCCTGTAGTCCCAGCTACTCGGGAGGCTGAGGCAGGAGAATGGCGTGAACCCGGGAGGCGGAGCTTGCAGTGAGCCGAGATCGCGCCACTGCACTCCAGCCTGGGCGACAGAGCGAGACTCCGTCTCAAAAAAAAAAAAAATAAAATAAAATAATGACATCCAAATGATCAGAAACTAAAAGTATAATGATATAAAACTACCTCATGGCCAGTTGGTACTGTGAGAACTAAGCCTTATAATACCACATTTTTCCCTGAAACTCATCCAATTTCCTACATTAGAGGAATTGCATATTCAGCATGGCTGTTCACAAAAATTTTAATCTATCATTTTTCCCTTTTTTGAACTGTTACACATATTCAGGGCAGAGATAAAATAGGGGTCAGGTTAGTTGAAATGGCTATTTGGATAGGATACGATTAGCTACACGGTTTTGAATTTCTTTTAATTGCAGCATGGCTTTTTTATTTTTGCTGCGGATCTTCTATTTACAATGGACTCCATTATGAGACTCTTCTTCTTTGTTGGTGTATTAAATAAATATATTACCTTATTTTAAGGTTCGATAAAATACTGTGGAAGACTTTCCCAAATTTTATATGATTGTGACAAGTTTTGGGGGGTAGGTGCACTTTTTTGTTTGTTTCTTTAATTTTTAAGAGGCTGCAAACACCATTCATGAAGGCTGGTTTATTTTATCTCTGAGGTATGGGCCTGGGATTAAGTGAGTCATGCCCAGGAAATAGAAGCAGCTGATCCAAGGATATAACATTGAAAGTAGTTGAGTTCTATTTTGAGATGGGTCTGATAACCACAATGTAATTCTCTATTTGAGGAAAATAGAAATTTTAGTATTTCAGAGAATCGGATTTTTTATTAATTCACAACACTTTCCCTCTAGAAATTCAGCACCTGCATCGCCCTTCTGAGTAAGTTTGGTTTTATTTGGGGGCAGCTATGATTAAGCAGATAACATTGGGTATATTGAAATAAAGGAACAATTCCTAACATTTTAGGAATACTACAACAGTTATTTCCTTTCCTTTCAGGTGATGATTTTCATACTTGTGTTGTGTTCTTTCTACAGAACAAAGACTAAATAATGACATAATCCTCAGCTGACTGACTGAAAATGTGACTGGACGCATTCCCTGTGGACAGTTGACAGCTTTTTTTTCATATACCTGATAGTCTTGTGTACAGCATTGTTTTGTCTGGGAAGCAGGGATTGCTGACATGTATTTTTGAATCCATACATTAATGCTAAAACGAATATAGTAGTTGTTCCTTAGAGCAATATGTTGTTACGTGTAGCAGAAATAAAGTTTTCTTTGCTTAACTAAATGATGACTTATTTATGTGAAAGACAAGAATGGAAAAATTCAATAGACAGTCTTTAGAATTTGACTAAATGACATATGTCATTGATTTTGAGATGCACATCTTTCTCATTCTAACACCCCTGAAAGTAGAAGCATCTCGATATCAGTTGTATCGCATAATGTAATTAACAACCTTATTTTCTTTCTTAATAAAACATGAAAAGATGCTTTTTTTCAATCAGTTGCATCTTAGAGTCAATAAAATATGGTAATTGCTACTCAATCTATACATGGAGCTTAACTGTTTACACTTAATCTAAGGACAAAAGACAAAATCATTGGAAATATTTTATACAGTATTTTTTTTAGTTATACCAAAATGTGTTGGTAATTTTGTAAAGCTCTTTTAAGATTATAAGGGAACAGTGATAAAAAAAAAATTAAAACTTGTTGATAATAAATTTAAATAAATGTCAGTGGCTTTGGGGGATGGACATTTTTATCTTTATAGAAATAATAGCCACTCCAAAAATATGAAATGTAAGGAATTTTCAAAACAGACTACAATAGGAGGTATAGTTATTTTGAAATTAAAGATTAAAAATTAGGGCTGGGGGTGGTTTGCTCACCACACCTATAATCCTGGCACTTTAGGAGGCCAAGGTGGGAGGATCACTTGAACCCTAGAGTTCAAGAGGAGACCAGCGTGGGCAACATAGAGGACCTGGTCTCTACAGAAAATTACGAAATTAGCCAGGCGTGGTGGTGTGTGCCTGTAGTCCCAGCTACTCAGGAGGCTGAGGTGGAAGGATTGCTTAAGCCTAGGAGACCGAGGCTACAGTGAGCCACAATAGTACTGCTCCAGCCTGGATGACAGAGCGAGACCCTGTCTCAAAAATAAAAACTAAAACTAAATAAAGATTTAAAATTAGGGATCTATTCTGCTTGTATTTTTAAAACTTTAACAAAAAAATTTTATTAGCTCTGGAGTTGAATTGATATGTATCAAAAAGGTATATCTAAATCAAGCATTTGGCACTTTTTATAAAAAGGTATTATAAATAATATGCATTTGTTAAAACATAATTATCTCCTCATTATACTCACATTCTGACTCAAACTAACGATGAAAGATTAAATTCAGCCATCTTAATAATTGAGTATCTTATACTTGGACATCTCCACTGGAAAACTAAAATCTTTTCTTTTAAAAGTCAGTGATTTTAGCAAATTTAGATAAGAAAATTTAGTCTTATCATCACAGGCAAAACTGCTGATAAGAATTGGGCCAGGTATCTTTCTGTGAGTCAGAGGATGTATTTTAAAGAGAAAGCAAAACTGGGTGCAGTGGCGCGTGACTGTAGTCCCAGCTACTCAGGAGGCTGAGGCAATAGGAGTGCCAGAGCCCAGGAGTTCGAGGCTATAGAGTGCTGTTATTATACCTGTGAATAGCCACTGTCCTCCGTTTCTTTGTTTTTAATTTTTTTTTTTAAAGTAATGAAAAACCTAAATGAGGGGAGCTGTGGATTAATTACCAAAAATAGGTGTAGTTATACCAAACTCATTTACGGTACATATAGTTCAGTTTTCACAGATTGGAATTAAATTGTTCCTTACAAGTTATTTGGCTCTGCCATGTAAGTAATGCTCAAATTACCTCAAAAATATTTCTTCCAGGTGGTTAATCTAAATAGTGTAAAAGTAACACTTAGTTACAGAAAGGAGCTCTCTACCTCCTACCTGAGTCCATTGCATCTCTGGTTAATCTTCACAATTGAGATAAGATCCTATTTCCTACAGTTTTCCCCTATTAAAGTATTTCACTGGGCTTTCTAGGAGAACTTGAATCTGTCATATGGTAGCCGTCATATACCTGGCCAGCCCTCCACATTCTCTATTCAAATTAAATGATCCCAGTTTCTCCCTTCTACCAGTCAGGCAGCCAGTCCCAGCAAACAGTTGTGGTTAAGAGTAAGGTGCCTTATCTAGATGTATTTCTTTGAATCATAGTATAAATTTTAAAGAGATTGTATGATACCTCTCTACCTACAAAACACTTTGCTTTTTCAGTGCAACCTGTTGTTTTGTTTTCCTTCCCAATTGCATGTCTCAGTAAACAATGCTTACTTCAGCTTCAGAGTGCATTTCATCTTAATCCTCTCAGTTTTTTAGCCTTGGTCCTGTCTTCCTATCTTTTGAAGTTGATCCCTAAAACTGTATTTTAAAAGCCAGAATATTAGATTTTTCTTAGAATGAGGAAATTCTAGAACCTAAAAAATAGCATTTAGTAATCTAGTTGTTTATGTCTTCACCTTAATGTCTACTTCTTAGATGCACTTTGAGTATGAGAACATAATATATAAATACTTAGATGCCCAGCAAATGTTAGTTATTAAAACTGCCAACACAGTGGAGTTTTATTAGTATATATTTCTTTAAAACTTTTTAAAATAATAAGTAATACATCTCAATAAACCTCTCAAGTATGTAGTTAAAATAAGAAATAACATTTAAAATAAGCCTGATTAAAGCCTTCTTGTAAATTAATTAACTGAGGTCTTGTATGGTAAATTGCTGAAAGCAACTGTCAAATTTGCTGCTTCTAAAGCAACATGTTCCAAACTATGTTCCTTGAAATACTAGAAAAAATTTTTCATGGTTAAATACACTTAGAAAATGTTCAGTATTTTTAGTTCCACAGGTTTAATCTACCATAGATAAAAAGGTAGTGAAAAATACCCAGGAAATTATTACTCTAAAATTCTAGCTTTCTCTGAATTTTGTTCTCTCTTAATTGGGATCCTATTCAGTATGAACGAACCCATGGAAAGTAGAAATAAGGGACTTTACCACTAGGTGGTGATAAACATTGGTGATAAATTGCAGCATTCCAATGTTAATTTAAGGCACTGAGACAGAAATGATGGTGTTTGAAATGCCTAAAACTGTGGCTCTTTTTTTTTTTTTTTTTGAGACAGAGTTTCACCCTTGTTGCCCAGGTTGGAGTACAATGCTGCGATCTCAGCTCACCGCAACCTCCACCTCCCGGGTTCAAGCGATTCTGTTGCCTCAGCCTCCCAAGTAGCTGGGATTACAGGCATGTGCCACCACACCCAGCTGATTTTGCATTTTTAGTAGAGACAGTGTTTCTCCATGTCGGTCAGGCTGGTCTCAAACTCCCGACCTCAGGTGACCTGCCCGCCTCAGCCTCCCAAAGTGCCAGGATTACAGGCATGAGCCACCGCACCCAGCCAAAACTGTAGTTCTTAAACTTTGGTGTCCACAAGAATTACTGTAAGTGTTTGTTTAAAATGTAGGTATACTGGTTCTGCAGGTTTGGGGTGAGTTTTTGAGCAAGCTGTGGTTATGATGGGGTGGTCAGTGATGTTAACTTTGGAATATACTGGCCCAAGGAGATTTCTTATGTTGGACCTTAGGTTGGACTGTTGTAATAGAAAGGCATGGAGAAGTTGTTTCCTAGTCTTTTTACCTTGGGCATTTTTTAGAATTAAGCATCTGGTTTTTCCTCAGTTTAATATCAGTAAATATGAATTGCATTAAGAAATTGAAAAACAAGCCGGGCGCGGTGGCTCACACTTGTAATCCCAGCACTTTGGGAGGCCGAGGCAGGTGGATCACCTGAGGTCGGGAGTTCAAGACCAGCCTGACCAACATGGAGAAACCCCATCTCTACTAAAAATACAAAATTAGCCGGGGTGGTGGCACATGCCTGTAATCCCAGCTACTCAGGAGGCTGAGGCAGGAGAATCGCTTGAACCCGGGAGGCAAAGGTTGCGGTGAGCCGAGATCGCGCCATTGCACTCCAGCCTGGGCAAAAAGAGCGAAACTCTGTCTCAAAAAAAAAAAAAAAAAAGGCCGGGCGCGGTGGCTCAAGCCTGTAATCCCAGCACTTTGGGAGGCCGAGACGGGCGGATCACAAGGTCAGGAGATCGAGACCATCCTGGCTAACATGGTGAAACCCCGTCTCTACTAAAAATACAAAAAACTAGCCGGGCGAGGTGGCGGGCGCCTGTAGTCCCAGCTACTCTGGAGGCTGAGGCAGGAGAATGGCGTGAACCCGGGAGGCGGAGCTTGCAGTGAGCTGAGACCCGGCCACTGCACTCCAGCCTGGGCGACAGAGCGAGACTCCGTCTCAAAAAAAAAAAAAAAAAAAAAAAAAAAGAAATTGAAAAACACAGTCGCACAAATAACAAATAACAGGCCATCTTTTTTATCTTAGTGAGTATTTTTTGATGTTTGTAAAGGATAGTAATTGTTTAGGCCATTCAAAGCTTTTACCTAATATTTTTATTTACATTTATTTTTAAGTGAATTGTCTGACTAAATTACCAAAGATTGCGATTCTGAAGAAGTACATAGGTACATGTTAGGTGTTTTAAATGACAAAGGAGTATGAAGGAGATGTAATTATCATTGTCAAAAAAACTGAAATAGAATAATCAAAAGGGTACAGAAATACCTCTGTATGTATGTGAGTGTTCTTACAATCATAAGATGAATCTTCTTGTAAAATGAATGCTTTTTTGATGTACCCAAAAACCTTTTGATTTATAGGTACATTGTAACTTTCAATAGCTTTAATAAATACTAAAGCTGAAAATCAGTGAGGGCAAGAACAAGTGAAATCTATTGCCTTTTCACCTAGAGGTATAGCCACATGCAGGCTTTGTTCCATATGTGGATGGTAAGCGCTATTAAAAATCAGGGCAGTTATTTTTACATATGATTTCAGTAAAGAGAAAACAAAAATGGTCATCCTTATTAGACAAGAAGTTCCATTTTAATACATGAATTCTAATAAATGGATTGCATTATTTCCTTTTCTAGAAACAGTAGCTCAAGAACACATGGATCCTGGGAACTGAAGGTATGGTATTGGTAGGAGATCAGACAGAAATATTGAGTTAAAATATCAAGTTGTAGTTCATTCATTACAATGGCCATGCTTTGACTTTATTTAAGGTAGAAAAGTCTTGTCCTTAGTAGACAATGCAGCTCCCACTACACTTTGAGAAAGTTACCAGGCTCTGTGAAAATTTATTTGAGTAATTATCGGAGAAAAAGGGAGTTCTGTGACTGTCATATATGAATTGAAGGCAGTATCTGGATGTCAAAGTCCCTGTGAGCTAGCTAACGTAGGCTGCACCACGTGGGACTCTTAGAAACTGCCTGTCTGACCAAAATGCTGCAGAAGTGGCAGAAGGAAGGCATCAGGAGACCATTTTTAAACAGTTGTTTGTATATGAGGTACAAAACTCAAGAACTGTGTGAAAAGGCAAGTACCAGTACTGTTTTCTAAAGAAATTGGGAGAAATACTGAACACAGAAGAATAACCTAAGTGCTTCCACTGATAACTTCTGTGAAACTATGTTCTCTGAATTCTTCTCCAAATTATTTTCTGATTTTGTAAGTAATGATGTTACAACTAATTTTTTTCCTCATATATTATCAATATTTTCTAGCATTAACAAGACATAGGTAACAGCATTCATTAGCTCAAGAGTTTTTAAGGGTTTTGTTTGTTTGCTTGCTATGTTTTTTTTGTTGTTTTTTTAATGCCAGAAAAAAAATTAAAGTCATCTACTTTAAAGTTATATACTAATTTACTAGAAGTTCTGATATGTAAAAATATATAATTTCATTGTTTTCCTCTCTTTGTCAACAAAGCCTATGTGGGCCGGGCGCAGTGGCCGATGCCTGTAATCTCAGCACTGTGGGAGGCTGAGGTGGGCGGATCACTTGAGGTCAGGAGTTTGAGACCAGCCTGGCCAACATGGTAAATCCCTGTCTCTACTGAAAAAAAATACAAAAAGTAATCCTAGCTACTAAGGAGGCTGAGGCAGGAGAATCTCTTGGAGTAATCCCAGCTACGAAGGAGACTGAGGCAGAGGTTGCAGTGAGCCAAGATTTTGCCACTGCACTCCAGCCTGGGCGACAGAGCAAGACTCCATCTCAAAAATAAAATTCAAATAAAACAAAGCCTATCCATTGTGTTGGGTTTTGGCCCTAGGAGATACTTTTTACATTCTTATCTCATTGCCCCACTGGCACAAAAGACTTCCTCCCTCTTCTATATTAGTACATTTGTAACTCAATAGAAGTGCCAGCATGACCATTTTGAAGAGGGTAGAGAAGAATATTTTAATCTGTTACTTAAAAGGACTGACTTTAGAAACAAGCTACAATAGTTGCTGAGAGCACTGGACAGGGGGATCTGCTTTGGCAATATCCCAGATTTAGGCTAAAAGTAGTAGGAGATGAGTCCTGTTAGGAATATCTGGGAATCACAGGCAATAAGGAGTCTTTACCAGGTACTGTAATGTAGTCCCTACAGCCTTATTTTACTGTGTTAACTCAAAGGAGGTATTTCACACACACAAAAAAAATTGGAAGTAAATCTCCCTTACATCATCCTTAAAGATTAGCAATGTACCTGGAATACCCAGCTTCTACTTAATAGCTTTTAGCTATTTGTAGCGGAAATTTATCATGTCTTCTAGATCTTGTTGATATATTAGCCTTTAGTTCCCCAAAAGTGAGTTTCATATACCCACATTGCATTTTTGGGTCTGTTTTCTCATCTAGAAAATAAGAAAGATAATAATTATTAGTGTAAATGCAAGCCTCTGCAAACCTCCTCTCTCAGGGTTCTACAAAAACATCCTTGAAAATATTAAGTAGGAAGAAAATTTGTATCAATCATAGAAGCTTAGGTTAAGATTAGTGGAAACTAGAAAGAATTTCTACTAAACAGAAATTTAGTAGAATCCTAGTAAGGGGTAGGATTTTAAAAAATGACTGACTCCAATTTTACATCGGAACATCCTGTTAATAAAACAAGATGATGGCGGGGCGCAATGGCTAACGCCTGTAATCCCAGCACTTCGGGAGGCCAAGATGGGCCGATCAGGATGTCAGGAAATCAAGACCATCCTGGTTAACATGGTGAAACCCCGTCTCCACTAAAAATACAAAAACTGAGCCAGGCGTGGTGGCGGGCGCCTGTAGTCCCAACTACTCCAGAGGCTGAGGCAGGAGAATGGCGTGAACCCGGGAGGCGGAGCTTGCAGTGAGCCGAGATCGCGCCACTGCACTCCAGCCTGGGCGACAGAGCGAGACTCCGTCTCAAACAAACAAATAAAACAAGATGACACCTTAGCCTCCCATCTTCTGACACTCATTATGTATGAGAAGGCTATACTATTAATTTGAGACAGCTATTGAGAGTCTGGTCGTAATAGGCTTCTTTCTGCATTCCTTCACTAGTGGCCCTGAAGCTGCACTATGTTGGAGGTTTCCTTGACTAAGAGAACCACACCTGGCATTCACCTCGGTAGGGGAGTCATAAAAGATCCTGCCTCTGACCAGAAGAGTATGAATGACAAAGGTGACATAACCAGCACAGAAAGATGTCTTAGCCTCTGCACATCAGCTGATTTAGAATACTTACAGATGGGGGGCGCTGTGGGGGGGCGGCGCAGAATGTTCTTTTCAGCTTCTTTGCCCTGAGAACTTTGATCTTATTGCAAGGAAGTCCCTTACCCTCTTCCACCCTAGATCTGACGGACCTCCTGGGATTTCCTGGGAAAATGAAATGAGTCTAACACCTTTGACCACCTGCTGGATATTATATCAGCACTTACTTGAGTAGACTGTGAAAGAACTGAAAGCAATATTCAGAGTCTGCCAGTTATCTGCAGTTGGCCTAGATAACCTCATTTTGAAATAAGTAACTGAATGGGCAAAAGATTTGAACAAGCACTTCACAAAAGAAGACCAAGAGGAGGGCAGGGTTTTTTGTTTGGGGAGTTTTATTTAGTTTTGTTTTGGGGTTGTTTTGTTTTGGCAGAGGACAGGAGGAGTGGATAGATTCATTTTGTAAAGAAATATTAAAATATTCTTTTTAATTTGATAGTTAATTTAAGCTTAAGAATCTTTTAAAACTCAGAATGTTCAGCCGTATTAGTCATCAACGAACTACTCATTACAACTACAATAAGCTACCCTAACAGTGGTATGAACAGCAAGAATTAAAATGTTGACAATACCAAGTACTGGTGACAGTGTGAAACAACAAGAACTGCTGATGCAAATTGGCTCAACCACTTGGAAAAATGTTTGACAGTATCTACTAAAGTTGAATATATATATGCCCTCAACTCAGCAGTTCCACTTCTAAGCATATATCCAACAAAGATGTGTACATATGTGTACCAAAAGACACATACAAAAACATTCTTGGTATTATTCATAGTAGCCTCAAAGTGGAAACAACCCCAGTGTCCATGAACAGAATGCATATGACACTGTATAGCAAGGAAATGAGCTAAATCTTGCCACACTTAACGATTTGAAGGAATCTCACAAATATAATGTTGAACAAAAGCAACCAACCAACAAAAGATGTGCTGTAGGATTCCCACTTACAGAGTTCAAAAACAAGCAAAACATACCGTTGAGCAGACGAATGGGGAAGTTCACAAAGGGAGTTATGGTGTGCTGGTGGTCTTGTCTTTCTTGACCAGGATGGGATAACTGATCGTTTTTGAGCTGTACTGTATGGAGTATGCATTTTTTATTTATCTTATACTTCAATTAAAGTTTTTCTTTCTTAGTGAATAAAGCAAAAATCAGCATGAGGCTGGTGAAACAGACAGTTCTGCAGAATGAGAGAAGAGCAATGTCCTGAAGCATTTAGAAAGAAGGACTTTGTTCTTCCAGTGCTTATAGAACAATAAATATTAGAAAATACCTGCTTTTGCTCCCCCTATGGTGCAGCAGGTTATTATGATGGCAAGAGGGCAGGAGAATAAGAGTGAGAAAAGAAACGGAGAAGCTAAATTAATATTTGTGTCAGAAATAGTAAATAGTCATAGCACTAAAGAAAATTGAATCCAAGTGAATACTAAACTACTTTTCAGAATCCTGTGGGTTCTCATGAGTCCACAAAGGGAAGCTAGACGGAAGTTCCCCCACTTCCTGTTCATTATCCAGATCAGAACTGCTTTCATCAATGTTATATATTGTGCTTTAAAAGCTTTCCTTTAAAGGATTCTGCAGCTTAAATAAGTTAGGATGAACAAAAAGCACCAGAGCGAAAGACAAAAATCACCCTCCGATGTATATAGTAAGAGAAAAGATGCAGATCAAAAAGGCTGATTACAGAGATTTATCCATTGACTAATAGATGTTCCCAATAAACAATAATTCATTTTAATAGAAAAAACATCGTTGATCGGCCGGGCGCGGTGGCTCAAGCCTGTAATCCCTGCACTTTGGGAGGCCGAGACGGGCGGATCACGAGGTCAGGAGATCGAGACCATCCTGGCTAACATGGTGAAACCCCGTCTCTACTAAAAAATACAAAAAAACTAGCTGGGGGCGGTGGCGGGCGCCTGTAGTCCCGGCTACTCGGGAGGCTGGGGCAGGAGAATGGTGTAAACGCGGGAGGCGGAGCTTGCAGTGAGCTGAGATCTGGCCACTGCACTCCAGCCTGGGCGACAGAGCGAGACTCCGTCTAAAAAAAAAAAAAAAAAAAATCGTTGATCTAAAAAATTTTAAAAGCCACAAGACTGAAGATCCTCTTCTACACATTTTAAATGCCATCTGGAATGGAGCAATGTCTACAGTTTTGTAGCCCAAGATTTCTCTATTCATCCAAATTGTAAAGGTAACAGACATTCTGTGATATACAATGTACTGCTCATTTGCCCTTTCCGGAAAAAAATTAATCACCGCACTCCTAAAATGAATCAAAATTAAGAATAAAAGAATAAGGAAAGAAAGGCCAGTCGGTGAGTATTGAAATCATCATGGAAACTATTAGAATAATGAAAGTAATTGTAAATTTCATTTTTATAAAAAAGAGGTTTATCATATGACTTATCTATTCTGAAATTTTTCAGTGGGATTTATAACCCTAGGTTAAGTTAATGAAGGCCAAGAAGGAATGGCAGTTTCTTTTTTTGGGGGGACAGAGGCAGGTAAGGGGTAAAATCCTTCTCTTTTGTAAAGAAATATTAAAATTCATTCGTTTTTTACTTTGATAATTAAATGTAAGGTTAAGAATCTTTTGAAATCTGTTAAGGTGGTTAATAATAAAGTTAATAACAGAATGTCTTCTCTTCAAATTCTTGAACAATGCAAAAGTGAAATTGTGTCCATGAAAAAAGTAAAAAAAAAAAAAAAAAAGCGCATAAGACCAAAACTGTTTAAACTGTTTAAATTCTAAAAACAAAATGAAATTATTTCCTTCATCCAAGAGACTTACCTTCAAATCCAATTCTGTCACACACACTTAACACAAAAAGTATCTCAGAGTACAATTTAAGGGGAAGTTATAAAGCTAAATAACAGAAGCATAGTCACTGATAAAATTACAATTAGTAGTGAAGAAAACAGACCCTGACACTTATACGCAGGCTCGTATAGGATTAAAATGTGAAATTGCAAGTACTTTATATATATATAAATATATAATATATATACTTTTATATATTAAAATATGAAAGTACAAAGTATACTTTACAATGGTGTAGGGATTGTGATGGAAACCTTAACATGTTCCGTGAACCATCACAACACAAATCAAATATGGGGAGAAATTATCTGCAAGAAATGAACAATAAAGCAAAATTTATATGTATAGAAAAAATATAACTTTTCTCAAATGGAATAGTTTACAAATCGATCAGAAAGCAATACCAAATGACAAAAGCAGCATAGAGGACCCAGAAAGATCTCTTAGCTTTCTGCACATCAGCTGATTTAGAGTATTTATAGCAGGATAAAAGAAACACCTCCAACATGTTCTTTCCAGCCTCTCTGTTTGAAATACTTTGGTCTGATTGCAAGGACATCTCTTACTCTCTTCTACCCTAAGCGTAGATCCTGTCAGCCTCCTTAGATTTCTGGAGGAATGAAATGGCTCTGACATTCAGTGCCCACCTGCTGTACATTACTTCAGCATCTGAATGGCCTGTAATAGCTGAAAGCAATCCTTAGAGCCTGACAATTTCCCTGCAGTGCATTTTAAAAGGCAAAAGTTATACATGGTAATAAAACTAAAAGATTTTAATAATTAAATCACAATCATGTGAAAAATAATTTAGAAGCCTTCTAAACAGTTTTTTCAAAAAGATCCAGTAAAATTGAGTGAAAACAAAATGGCAAATAAAAGCTAGAGGATGTGTTTAAAGCTATGCTGAAAGGCAAACTGATAGCCACTATTATTTAGAACATGAAAATGAACTAATAGACATGTAACACAAGGGGAAAAAGTAACAATATGGATAATACTAGGAATAACTCAGAAGAAAGCAAATAGGCAACCTCCTGACAAATGCATTTTTTAAAAAAATCAAAATCAGAAATAATAAAGATAATGAAAAATAAGATTATTAAAAATAAATGTATTTTAATTGAAATATTTGCTATGACATATTCAGTACACAAGTTTAGAAAACCCACTCAAGAATTACAAAATTCAAACAAGTCAATAACCAAAGAAAAAAATTAATGTAGTAACCAATGAATTGTATCTCCTCAAAAGAGTCCTGATCACGCTATGCATTCTCCCAAACTTTTAAGAAGCACATTATGCCTGTGTTATATAAATTTTCTCTGGTAGGCAGAAAAAGGTGAGTGTACACTACATTAAATTTTGTGCAGTTACTGTAACCCTGACACCAAAACATTGAAAAGACAAAAATTGTCTTTTCAATTTTTGAAGTTACTGTTACCCTGGCACCAAAACATTGAAAAGACAAAAATTGTCTTTTCAAAGCTATAAATTGTTCTTTTACCTAGGAATATGGATGCAAACAAACCTAAATAAAATATTAGAAGTACAAATCACGTGTTCAAAGAACAACATACCATTGCCAAGTAGGGTTTATCCTTTGATGAAAGAGCAGTTCCCATTGCGGGGAAAAAAAAACTGTTAATACGTTTTTTTTTTCGGGGACAGGGTCTCACTTTGTTGCCCAGGCTGCTCTCGAACTCTAATACGCATCTCAATAAATCCACAATGAGATCTGTTTGCCCAAATTGGTTACTTGTCCATTCTTGTGATCACATGAATGTCATGGACTCTTTGGATTATTCATGATTAGTCTGAAACAATCACTAACTGGAAGGATGGGATTAGTCTGGGTTGTTTAAATGAATCAGTGTCTAGCCTTGTTCCCAACTGCATGACTGCAATATAACGGGGAAGGTATGGAAAGCATGTTGGTAAGGCAAACACAATGTCTAAAACTGCTTCTTAGCTAGATTTATTGCCAGGCACTGGGCAAGTGGCTTTACATATATCTCAAAACTCTATGGTGTAAGTACTATTTTTCCTATTTTATCAACAGGAAGCTGAAGTACATTCAGAGAAATAAAGTAACTTGCTCAAGTAACAGCCAGCAAATGGGGAAGCTGGACTTCAGATACAGGTGACTTAAAATTGATGCCCATTCTCTTAACCACTACACTAAATATCACCGGCCATAATGAAGATTACAGGTGCTACCACATGCACACACTAATCAAAATTATGTAACAACAAATCCTTCCACAACTATGGGATAGAATGGAAATCATGCTTACTATTTAGAGAAAGCAAGCAGAATACAAAATTCCATATAATGTAGTTAATGATTTTTTTAAGCTAGAATGAATTTGCTAGAATGAATTTGAAAGAGCCATATGGGTGTATTTGCTTTTCACTATTTTCCATTTTTCCTTAGTGAACATTTGTACTTTAAAAAAAAAAAAAACTAAAAAGAGCCAGGCACGGTGGCTTATGCATGTAATCCCAGCACTTTGGGAGGCCGAGGTGGGTGGATCATCTGAGGTCAGGAGTTTGAGACCAGCCTGACCAACATGGTGAAACCCCATTTGTACTAAAAAGACACACACAAACAC